AAAGAGGAACTTGGTCTGTACCACCAAGTACCGTTTGAACCATCTTTGATAGTAGTCATCGCCACAATCGAATATCATAGCCATAGAACCCCGATGATTCATGTTGATTATCCTCCCACGATAGAATTTGGAGTAACAAAGATGGATAAGTTATTGGAAGGTGATGGGGACACCAGCCTCCAAGGCCAGTGAAGAAGGCATGAAACCAACCTCCACACTTAGGGACCGGCCTGGGTTCAACACACCTTGTACTTCATGCAAATTTTGAAAATAACTTCATTTACAAGAAGCTTGAACCCCATGGTAAAGGGATACGTGTGGATGAAGGAATGATCAGGATGGTGACTGATAAGTCTTTCGCCATCCCGAGGAAGTCCAAGAATGAATTCTCATCTCTTAGTTCACCCACAATCCTCCCGAACCTAGGGGATGATGTTTTGGGAAATGAGAGATGAAAACTTGAACATAGGAAAATTTTGGTCCCCTATATGCTTCTCGGTCTTTTCCTAGACCTTACAGTTGTTGTGCTTTTAAACTCCATTGGCACAATATCTGAAACCGTATGTTCCGACAAGAATGCTAGGTCAACCTTCTTGGATTTCCTCCTCTTCTTTGCCGGTGGCGAAGCAAAGTGAACCATCATCGACTCATGGCAACGACGATAGAGGTATCCTCCACGGTATCAGGAGCAGAAACAGAAGAAGGTCACTCAATTAAAGGGTTATGGCTCTGGGAATTCATTATTGAAAGCTAAAAGTTTTTGAGGGAAGGACTAGAAAGCTTCTTAAAATGGAGAAGGCAAAGTATATGTTATTTCTGGAGAGGAAATGGAAGTTCGAAGAAAGCAAAGGTAGAAAATAAAACACAAGGAGAACCACTCATTTATATAAGGAGAAATTATCATTACCTCGGTAACTACCGATGGCATCATCCGTAACTAGACCTACCCGTGTGTCTCGTTCATTAAAAAAATACGATATTTGACCTTACAAATTCAAAATTAGGGTGTCGGAAATGATTCATTTTCCCGCCTATGGAGCCTTTCCACTTTCAAGATGTTTTTCGAAACTATCTGGAAGGTGAATGGCCATGGTACGTGTGGCACACACGTGTCAAACGACACCACATGCCCAATGCCAGGAAATCCTAGGATGTTCGAGCACCACCTTATTTTTCGGGATTATGTTCCTGGGATCAGCAAAAAATCATCTGAGATAAAATATCCAAAACACACAAGGATACTATTGGAACATTCGAAGGGTTTGAAAATTTCTTTACAAAGTATTTCTAAAAAACATCGACAAAGTATGAGAAATATACTTTTTTCATTAATAAAAAGTCTAGTAGCTTAGAAAAAGAGGCATATTCATAATGCCCATGACTAGCCAAAGACAAAAAAAGAAGAGAAAAGCTCCTGAAACATTCCCAATTATTGGTCATTGCACTGGTCATTGGTCAATTCACCTCACTGATCTCCGGGTGAAGAAGCGAGGCTTGAGGATTCGGGGAAATCGAGCCAAAAAAGGAGCCGAGCAAGAAAGAAGGATCAACTTGAGTGACCGGGGAGTTGGGATGCGAATCAATATTCTCCTCTCCGCCATCCTCATCCAGGAGGCCCAGAAACGTCCCCCATTCTGAAAAATCTTCAAAAGAGAAGACATTCCATGGCTTGTCGGGCCGTCTCTATCGCCTGTCTCACCTTCTCGATCTCTTCATCCATGTTAGGGATCCCTGCACGAATATCCTCTAATGCTGATAACATGAATTCCAGGAAGGCAACATTCTAAGCAAACTCAGATTGCACCTTCAATCTATCGAGATACTGAATTGCTTTCTCTTTCACCCTGCAACCTCTCTTTCTTAACCTTAAATGATTCGGTAGAATCTTTCCAAGTCTTGAGAGCCTGCTCAAGGTATTTCCTCTATATTTTAGCCCGATTAAGTTCATCAATAAGCTTCGCGTGCTCATCGATAAGTTGACTCGAACTCGCCTCCTTCTGAACAAGTGAGGCCTCGAGGCACCTCACTCTTTCAACATACATGACAATAGGGGTGTTCATGAAAAATCGAAATATCGTATCAAACTAACAAAAAATTCCAAGATAACAAATTCAGAAACATGGAGCTTTTCTTTTTCCATTCATTTCCGCCAAATTAATTTAGAATTTTGTCAATTATTTGTATTCATGTACGTGAACCGACTGATGAGTCGTCTATAATTCGTGCGAATAACTAAATGGCAATAAAATACTTTATTTCGCATAAGATATGAATTGGATAACCAGGAAAGATATTTGAAGTATATGATATGATCCCCCTTTGGTACTTGTGCCTAAATTATCTAAATATTTTCATTTTCTTTTCAATTAAAATCGCTAGTTTATGACATAAAAGGAATGGGACGACCACTGAAAATCCACTTTTTCTTCTCGTCACTGAAAATCTATATTTGCCCAGAAGATGTTGTGGTCATTTTCATAAAAAACTAAAAGAAGAAATTTCTATTAACTACTTATACTAGGTCTGCGATGCTAAAACTTAAAAAGGACATCATGCTGGTGGCAAGCAACCTATATAATTCTTTTGCTTTTACTTTTTTTTTTGATGGAGGTGTTGAGGTAAGATAGAGAGACCAGTTTGATATCACTGATTAGAAGGTTATTGGATTCAAATTATTGATACTATATGTTGGATATTGGGTTTGTGTTACGGATCACTCATGTGACTGACTCGGCCAACCTAAAAGAGATAAGACTGATAGAAGTTACTTTCCAGGGAAGCTTATCAACTCCCAAAAGAATAAGAGAAGTGCCGCACGTGCAAACAAAAAAAATGACCGGCGATTTTCTCCTTCTCCTTTTCTTTATGTACTTCTCTTTCTCTTTAGTATTCACATATTCTCCCTACAGAAAAAAAGAACACAGTAAGTTAAAGTATTTAATTTGTGAACAAGAACTCTGTTTTCTAGAGATTCAGAGTACGACTTAGGGCCATTATTTTAGCGGTGAGTTCAACAATTCTTCCGTTGCATTATTGATAGGTACGCTAATGTTGTTCTCGCCCCGCGATTTAATCTAACACTATAATTTAACTTGTCATCTCTTAATTATTAAATTAACTAGGAACGACACAATGGAAATCAAACTTATATCTAAATCAATTCATTTATTCCTAACCTTGGAGGTTTATATAGTATTAGTAATTATTGATAAAGCTAACTAATTAACACAAGTATCCGTATGAGCTAATTCCTCACTGATTGCAATATTCTTGTTTGAATACAATCTTCGTACAACAAACTAGTTATGCAAGGAATATATTAAATTAATGGTTATATATTAATAATACAAAGATTGTTATGCAGTAATTGTTTATTCTAAGAACCTTTTGTTGGAATTTTAAGCTTGTGTAGCTTAAAGAGGGTGAATGAGAAATGGAGGAAAAATGAAATATTTGAGTTTTCCTCCTTGGCAAAGGGACGTTGTCCCATATTGGAGGAAGAAAAAGCTTTTGATGGGTATATATATAATTGCTCTTCTTCTAACTCTTAAAGAGTTAAGAAGAAGGCAAGCCTCGCGCCGCCGTCGCTCGCTCGGCTTCAGTCAAAGATCGATTGACTGATTAATATTTTTGGACAAAATTCCTTTCAATTATTTAATTAATTAATAATTAACGAAAAATTCAATTCGGATTCGGCTTCGGATTCAGATTCGGATTCGGTCAAAGATCGATTGATTGATTAATTTTTTTGGACAAAATTCCTTTCAATTATTTAATTAATTAATTAAATAATTAACGAAAAATTCAATCCGGCTTCGGCTTCGGTTTTGGTTTCGGATTTGGATTTGGATTTGGATTTGGTCAAAGATCGATTGATTGATTAATCTTTTTGGACAATTTTTTTTTAATAATTAATTAAATAAATAAATAATTAACGAAAAATTCAATCCGGAATAAGCCCGTTTTCTTTTCCGGATTATTTTAAATCCGTTTTTCCGCAATATTTTCAAACAGCCTGTTCCAACAGCCATGGCTATTTCTGAAATGTTGCAAACCTTTTCAGAAACAATGCCAGCAACTCTATAAATATACTTTGAATCCCAGAATCATTACTTACGAAATTTTCTGATCTTCTTCTGCACAAAAAATCTAGTGTGTTTTACAGCTTTCGAGTGGCTCGCTGTTCATCGGCGTTTTGGGTACCAACACTCCGGTGAGTTAAATTGTTCTATCCTGGGAGGATATATTCCAGCACATCGGGTGCTTGAGGGGAATAATTCCCTTAAGGACACACTGTGTATTCAGTGGGCTCGATTTATTCCTATACTATTTTTTCAGAATTTATTTCGTTAAACAAGTATTACTAACTTTATGTTTTGTTTATATATTTCTGAAAGTTTAATGGTTTAATTGTTTATTACAGCAATACAGATTTATAACACCTTTTGATCGTAAATACTACTCTTATTTTTCAAGTATTATTAAGAGACTAAATTTTATACCATATTACATCTCGTGTCAAATCGGCACGAATAATAAAATTTATACTATTAATTTAATTGTTGTAAAACTAATAAAATGTTAAGTTTTTAATATAAAGCTTTTGATAACTAATGTAATGTTTGGTTTTCTAGAGTTTTATACCATTGTACATAAAGTTTTAGAACGATTAAAATTAATAATGTAAATTTGACGTTGCAACTAAATGTAATCTTAAATTTTAGCATTGAGATATATATATATATATATATATATATATATATATATGTTGTACAAGTACAACCGAGCTTATTCCTTAAGATGTTAAGATATTTCACCTCCTTACTCAAAGAAAAACAACAAGATCTTTTGTAGGTCATTGTTGAGGCTTAAGCACAAAGTTTGCATCTTTGGGGTCATGATAACAATGACATGACCAAAGAGAAAAGAGTAAGGGGTGGTTACATCATTGGACCACAACAAGACATATACATAATTCACTCTACCCCACACCCTTTATTCCCATGTCCCAATGCTTCCTTAACCATCAACACTCCATTCTTAAACCTTCATTCATTAAACTCCCTTCTGTCTCTTCTCTTCATCTGATAAACTACAATGTGAAGCAATGAAAATACTAGAGCTAGTGTGATTAATCTAATTTATTAGTATTTGTCTTGTACATTACCACTACTACTAGTACTAGCTGCTATTATATTCAATTTTCTTCATCATAAATCTCCATTTAAGTAATCAAAGTACTATGTAATCTAATGAACATCATTAATGTCCAGCACTTCCATATTACTATTACTATCACTTTGTCTCTTCATTCACTCTACTTTAAAGTTACTTAAATCTCACTTCACTTTATAGAGTATGTTTTTTTGCCTTTTCCTCTCTCTGCTCTCTCCTTCCATGCTTGTCCAAACCCTAGATCTGTCCCCCTCTTAGGTAACCTCAACAACCTTTGCTTCTATATCAAAGAAAACATTTCTCTCTCTCTCCCTCTGACCTCTGTGTATATTTATTTATGTTTGTGTATTAACTGCTGTTTGTGTTGATTTCTAGGTGCAGCTTTTTTAGTGACAGTGAAAAAAGTTGAAAGTGGGTAAAATATTTTGTTGGGAGATGAGTGGCAGCACCTCTACATCAGTGGTGGGGGGAGGGGGGTATGGGTATGGTTACCGGCCACCATTCACGGCAGTGCAATGGCAGGAGCTGGAGCATCAGGCAATGATATACAAGTACCTGGTGGCAGGTCTACCTGTTCCACCGGACCTCGTTGTTCCAATTCGTCGGAGTTTTGAAGCCATCTCTGCTAGGTTCTTTCATCACCCCAGCTGTATGTTTCTTCTTTCTTCTTCATTTATTATATATTAGTGAAGAATTGATGGTTTACTTCACTTCGATGGTTTTATTGAAGCATGTAGATCTGGAAAAGGGCTCCTTTTTTGGCATTCTTGTCTACTTTCTGTCTTGTTATGAATTTGCAATTGTTACTTTTTTGTTTGTATTTAATATGTACATACATGGTTTGGCTCTAGGAGAGACTTTTTTCGTCGGGGTTGGCATCTAGTGAATTATAGCTTTGTTATTCTTTGTGTCAATGTAGTAGAAACACACTTGTTTTTGCCTTTTTAGGGGCTCATCCGATGTTTATTTAAGTTGTACACCATCATGAACAGTGGCACATCCAGAATTTTAACTTGATGGTTCAATCTCTTAAACTCTTAGACTGAACTCGCTATACTTTTAAAATTGTGGGTTCAGAAAATAATATTTGTTGAAATTTTGTTTTTAAATCCGCCGCAGATCATGTATAGTTTACAGATGTGCTTACTTTCGATGCCTATGTATAAGTGCTCCAGTAGTGGGAACTTTGTGTTTTGGTATGCTCCTATTTCATTGATTTCTGATTGCTGTGTGGCTAATCAGATCTTGCTATATATTTTCTTTTGCCGTAAAAGGACTTCTTGAGGGCAGTGGTGCGGCTTTACTACATTATCTCGGAGCTTAATGGTTTGTATATTCCATGTGCAGTGGGCTATTGTTCCTATTACGGAAAGAAGTTTGACCCTGAGCCCGGAAGGTGTAGAAGGACTGATGGAAAGAAGTGGAGGTGCTCGAAAGATGCATATCCTGACTCCAAATATTGTGAGCGGCACATGCATCGAGGTCGCAACCGTTCAAGAAAGCCTGTGGAATCTCAATCTGCTTCCCAGTCCTTGTCGACTAGTATGTCGCACATTACTACTGGGAGCAGCAATACAAGAGGAAGTTTCCAAAGTAGCAGCTGTGGAAGTTTCCAGCACATGCCATTATATTCTGTCGCTAATTCAGAAGAACTGAATTATGGAAGCAGTGCAACAAAGTTGCAGATGGAGCTCGTGTCCTATGGAATAGATAACAAGGACTATAGGTACCTCCTTTTTGTCTTCAGTAGGACACTAGGACTTCTTTTCCTTGGCTACACTTGTCTTGGTGTTCTTGTGTTACTTCGACTACTTTGTGGCCTAAATTTGTTTTTCCGTCAGTTGGCATATAAACTTTATTACTTTGATAACTGAATCTGTCATCTGAATTACTCCAACATGTTGCTTCAAGCCTTGATCTTGGGCTCTGTATCATGTGGTCTAACACTCTACTTGTTCCAATGAGTGATTCTATGTTTTGTCCTTTTTTTTTGGCTGATAAATATAGAAGTTTATCGGAAACAGCCTCTCTACCTCCGCAAAGTAGGGGTAAGGTCGCACATTACCCATCCCAGACCACACATTGTGGAAATATACTGGGTATGTTGTTGTTGTTGTTATTTTGCTGATAAAAGATAGAAATGTGAACTCAAATCTTTTACATCAGGAGGATGCCATATAGGACTTGGGAGACTATTATCATGGCACAATGTTTTTTGCCCATTTTTTGTCTGCTTATGACCCATTTTTGTCGCCTGTAAGCCTTCAGTTCATCTTTCCACTTTTGCTAATTTGAGACCTACCAGTTCCGTAAAATTTGAGGGCCTGATAAGTTATTATTGATCCACCTCTAAAAGCTGTTTCCTACTCCCTCTGGAACTGTTTATCTATCAAGGTCCTGACATGAATAGGTGCAAAAAGACTGATTATGTTCTGATGCAGCAAGTCATATCATAAGCAAGATGATAAATAGTGAGGGCGAAAATTACAAATAGCTATTGAGCCTCACGTTTTCCTTTTAAATGTAGCATTGGCCCTTCAGGTATGTCAATTTTCAGGTCAGAGTTGTGTTGTGATCCTGTATCTATGGTTGGATCCTGAGTGGGTATAGATATTTGAGGTGCCTGTGTGAGTGTGACGTCGCTCAAATTTCATGCAACATGATAACATTCGTGTGAATGCTGGTGTCGGTTGTAGGGTTGTGTCCTTGAATGTGCTTTTCTTGCTACTAAATGGCAATTGTTTCTTGCCTTGTTTCTTTCTCTTGTAAATGAATTGCACTTATCCCAGAGAGAGTTGCATAACCTAATCGCAGGAATATTTATCAGACAAAAAGGAAATAAAATTTTGATTTGAATTTCGATCAACTTTGGAAATTCTGTCTCTGATAATTGAACACCATTATAAGTAACATTTAATATGCATTTGTATTCCATTCTTGGAAATCTTCAGACCATTCTGGAAGTTGCAATAAATAACATACGCCCGAGATTATTGGCTGTTATCAATGAAGGTAATAGAATATATTTTCAAACACATCAATTTTAACACGTTAAGTTTAGTTTTTTGGAAGTTGGAATGCATATATGCTTGCCTTTAGTTGTACTTACAAGGAGGAGTAACATCAATATATGCATGCAAGAGACCAAAGGCTTCTCCTATATGGACTCTAATGTTATGTCAAAACAAGAAGGATAAAGTATTTTCCAGTTACTTATCAAGTCATAAGCTAGTTCCATCTAGGCAGAGTATGTGTTTATTAGCATGAAACTGCCGAGCTCAGTGATGGAAGGTTGGAAGTGTTTTGAACTACGACGATAATCTTGTATTTTTCACAGGACTCATCTCTAATGATTTGGAGAATGACAACTCAGTTTTAAATGGTGATTACTTTACAGTTTACACCAACAGTAGTCTGCCATATTCCGACTAATAGCATATGGTGCTGAAGGATGCATATCCCGTGCTTACTGTGCATCAGCTCCCTTTGTGTTTATGTCACTCTTGCCTTATCTTTGATTCTGAGAGCATTCTTCTTTCTTTTCTTGTCGGGGTTTTTTTTTGGGGGGGGGGTGGGTTCTTTTGATCCACCCTATAAGGAAGTTGACAACAAAAATCTTGGCAATTTGAAGAAGCTCCGTTTACTCTTCTCATGCCCTTATTCTGATTAAATGTGTAATTGTTTGGGTAGTTTGCCTTTGTCCCTTTACTAATACTATTCTTGGCTGCAGTCAGCTTGTATTGCCTTTGGAGAAATAAGTGTTGTAACATCCAGTTTCATCTAATGCCAAAATGTATCACAGGTATCTCCATGGAATTGCTCCTGATGCTGATGAGCATAATTTATCTTCAGAAACTTCTGCAACTGTCAGAAATTTAGGGATGGGGACCACCATGGACAGCACATGGGTATTGCCTTCTCAAGTTTCTTCAAGCCCCACGGCGAGACCAAAAAATGATTCTCAGTTGCTGGGTAGCTCACAGCAGATGCATCTACCTAATCTACTTGAGCCAATGATTGATTCAACAATTTCAAAACGACGACACCAGCATTGCTTCTTTGGCAGTGAAATTGATTCACCTGGAACAGTAAAGCAGGAGCAGCAGTCAATGCGCCCTTTCTTTAACGAATGGCCCACTGCTAAAGAATCGTGGTCCAACCTTGATGATGAGGAATCGAACAAAAACAATTTCTCCACTACACAGCTCTCTATATCCATTCCAATGGCTCCTTCTGACTTCTCTTCAAGAAGTGCTTGCTCCCCGAATGGTGAAAATTGACATCCTTGGAAAAATAGCTTCTCCCATCCTACTGGTTTAGTCTTTTACAGCAAGCTTATTGATATCATTTGGTTTTTTCTTGGCTGTAGATGCTTGAGGGAGCTGCCGCTGTAAAAACTCAGCAGTCTGGTGCTATGCAGATGAACCGACATGCTAGTACTAACGCGTCATCTGCTTGTATGAGCTTTATGTAACCTTCATGTTGCTGGAACATTGAGTTGTTCCATGTCTGTGGTTGATTTTCAATTTTCAACGATGTTTTAAGAAAAAACAAGTTGTCTTCAAATGTTGCCCGTGTTCGTTGTCAAAAATAAATGTATTTTTACCAGTCTTTCTGCTGGTGTTTAGATGATGATTACTTTGTGGTTTCAATATTTGGTTGCAAATCATGTGATTTAGTTTATAGAGAGATTGATCCCTCAAGGAAACTTTTATTTCATTCTCCATTTTGTTTGACTTATTTTTCATGGTAGCCCTCTAGAAAGGAAAAAGGCTTAATTTGGAGTACTGAAGTAAAATCAAAGAGGCACCAATGAGTTTCCATAAAAATCACAACAAAATCGGGATTGAAAAAATAAAAGAAAAAGCACAAGGAATTTCATTAGAGAAGATATAGCTTTGGAAAAAATAAATAATTTGCAGTAAAATTGCACGTATAGTTGGTTGGAAGGAGATCTTCTCTCAGTTGGGAAATGGGTGAGAGCCATTTGGATTAGAAGTGAGATGTGGTTGAATACATCAAGAAGGAAAATAAGGGTGTGTTTGGTACTATTTTCCTTGGAAAATAGGTGATTTTCTTGCGTATTTTCTGGTGTTTGGTTAAGTAGTAGAAAATATTTTGAAAAATATATAATTTAGGCAAAATCTATATAAGACGAAATGGATAAAGATATGGGAGGGTGGTAGGTCCGAGTTTAGGGGGCAGGGTGGTCGTGGGAATGTTAGGGTGTGGGGGTGGGGTGAAAAATAAGTTGGGGAAGATTGAGAAAGAGTTTTGAAAAATAATTTTCTTCCTTTTAGTAGGAAAGAATAAGTTCATAAGGAAAATATTTTTTAAAATATTTAAACCAGCCAAAGATAAGAAAATTAGAAAATATTTTTTTCGTACCAAACACACCCTAAGTGAAAGCCATTTGGATTAGGTGAGATGTGATTGAATAAATCAAGAAGGATATTTTTTACCGATTCAATCTCATGGAAGTAAACTATATTTACTGTTTTTTAGCGAGTTTTTGACTAAAATTATCCCTTATCTATGGGAGTAGGTTCATTTCTGTCCTTCAAATATAACCCAGAGCATCTTTAATCCTTTAACTTTGCTAAAGTAGAGCATTTTTTGTCTTACTAACAGAACCAACTTAAAGACTAACGGTGCTAACCCATGTGACACTCACGTCACTTTATAAAATACTAAACCCACTAGTAAAAGATGACCAATTCCATTTGCACTTTTTCCCAACTCCATCCGCAGATCTACCCATTACCAAAAACCCTAGCCTCTCAAAAAAGCTTTGATGACTGAAACAAGAAGATGACTCAAAGTGAAGAAGCTTATTTATTGATCTCCAGCAATGATTATTAGATGGCATGGTAGTGAAATACCCAATTATGGTAAGATTTTAGCAAGAAATACCGTTTAGATTTTCATCAAACTGAAGAAATTGTGAATTATTTTTTTTACTGTATGTTGATTCAATTTCTAATTCTTTAGTTTATCTAATGATTATTATATAACACATGACAACTTCAATTAGCTCTTATCATATAGCCTTAACATAAGTTTTTTTTGGCAGACCCTGCATATGAAGCTTTTTTTTTTCAGTGTAAAAGTAACACATGGTGGTACGATGAAGCATCAACCTAGCAGATATTACCTTGGGGGACGTGTAGATTTTATTGATTATGTTAACTATACGGAGTTGAATCTGTCGCAATTCAAATCCATGACAGAACTATGTGGTTATGAGAGAGATTCTGTTACTTTTTGGCACAAGTGCGGGAGGTACGGGAATGGAATGCACTTGTTTCTACTGATGTAGAAGCTACTCCTATATCCAAAAATATTCCAGATCATAAGATGGTTGAAGTGTACTTTGAACATCTTGATTCATATATTGGAAAAACTATACATACTAATGAAGTTAGTGGAGCAGAACAAGAGAAAGAAGTAAATAGCGAGCATTCTTTGACTGATGATGAATTTGAAGACTCAGAAAATGATTTTTCAGAGTATAATGAAAATGTGAATCATAGACATGAAGTTAGTGAAGAAGTTAAGAAAAAAATGGCTGCTGAAGAAGGTGATATAGATTGTGTTGACTCGGATGATACAAAGAGTTTAGATTGTGACTCTGACAGTGAGAGTTTCAACTTTCCGATGTTCAATCCTAAAACAGACGGGGATAAACCAGTGTTGGCATTAGAATTGACATTTGAAAATAAGCATGAGTTCAAATATTCTGTAATAACTCATGAAGTTAATGAAGGAAAGTACATTAAGTGGTGTAAGAATGATAACTCAAGAGTTAAAGCAAATTGTGGTCATCTAGATTGCAAATGGGAGATTCTAGCATCAAGAATGCATCGAGATAGAACATTTCAGATCAGAACATACAATCCCACTCATGATTGTAAGATTTGGAATCACCGTAACAAAGCAATCACATCTTCTTATATTGCACAAAGATATCTTAAGGCCATAAGCTCAAATGGGTCTTGGGCAATCGGTGCATTCAGAGATCACGTTAGTGTGGAACTAAGAGTTCAAGTGACATTATCACAATGCAGAAGGGCAAAGAAAAAAGCACTTGCACTGATTGATGGAGATATTAATGCTCAATACAAGGTATTGTGGAACTATTGCAATGAAATTAGGAGGACAAATCCAAATACATCAGTCTATATGAAGTTTGTTGAAAATGAGGTGCCCGACAAGCCTAAGAGATTCCAAAGAATCTATATTTGTTTTAGTAGTTGTAAAGAGGGGTTCAAGAGCGGTTGTAGAAGAATAATTGGGGTGGATGGTTGTTGGCTTAAGGGTCCAATATATGGGACTCAATTGTTAACTGCTGTTGGGCTTGATCCGAATAACAATATCTTTCCGATAGCATATGCAATTGTAGAGAAGGAAAGAAAGGAATCGTGGGAATGGTTTTTGAATTATTTGAAGCTTGACTTAGACATTGATAACTATGGTACTTGGACCTTCATGTCAGACAAGCAAAAGGGTTTGATTAAAGCGTTCAATGAGGTATTGCCATATGTTAGTCATTTATTTTGTGTGAGACACCTCCATAATAACTTCAAGAGGACCGGATTCAGTAGTATTTCACTCAGGAATGCCCTTTGGAAGGCTGCAAAGGCTACAACAGTAAAGTGGTTTGAGGATTGCATGGTTGACATCTTTGATATAGATTCAGAAGCTGTTCATTGGCTCAAGAAGAAGTCGCCTACTGAATGGTCTAAATCTCACTTTTTTGAAACTGTGAAATACGATACCTTACTCAATAATATGTGTGAATGTTTTAATAGTATGATCATTGAGGCTAGAGATAAGCTGATTATCACTCTATTGGAGAAGTTAAGGTATCACCTTATGACAAGGATGCAAGCAAATAGGGATAAAGGTACCAAGTGGAATGATGGTGATATTTGCCCTAGGATTAAGAATGTATTGCACAAAAATCAAGCTAAAGCAGCTGAATTTATTACCAGGAAGTCAAATGAATGGAATTATGAGATAATAGGAGCAAGCATAATGAACAACTGGGATGTGGATTTGCTAAATAGAAAATGTAGCTGTAGGAAATGGGATCTAACAGGAATTTCTTGCAAGCATGCCATTGCCGCGATTTGGGCTAAACATGATGACATTAATTCATATGTGGATGATTGTTATAAGGTAGAAACTTATAGAATGATCTATGCCTTTTCTATTCTACCTATGAATGGTCAAGAGATGTGGCCTAAGTCGAATAACGTTCCTCTTTTGCCTCCACGATTGGAAAGATAAAGTACCAAAGGAAGAAAACAAAAGCTTCGCAAAAAAGAGTCTGATGAAGTTGGAGCAAGTAGACAAAAAATGAAAAGGAAGCAAACAAAATTGGATTGTAGCTTATGCCATAATCCATGTCATAACAAAAGAACCTGCAAGTTAAATCGTGTGTATCTAGATTCTCATGATGATGAGACGGTGCGACAAGAATCCTCATTTCCTACTGCATCTTCTGCTCATGTAAAGCTTCAGGTATGAGTTTATTACACATATCACTTTATTTAATTATATTAATAATACAGTAACGATAATTTTATTTTTATTGTAGGTAAGAAGAAGGTCTGGCAGCCAGGACTATATGAAAGCAACTCAAGAAAGTAGAGTGACTGGAGATATATTTTTTGATATGTAAGTTTCTGCTTAAAAGGATTGGTTGTTGCCGTTGGAGGTTATTTTTTGCTGCTGAAGATTGGTGAAAAAGAGTTGGGATTGCTGTTGAAGACTATATGGATAGGTTGATACGCCTAGCAGATGGTTGGGATAGCTTGATGCGCATGAAAGAGTTATTTTTTGTCGCTAAAAGACTGGCGTAAAAGAGTTGATTTTAGTAAACTCTTCATTTTGGTTTAACTGATGTAAAGGGCTATTATAACATATTTCTTAAAAACTTAAACATATTTCTCTACGAAGGAGTTGAGTTCAATGAATCTTTATTTTGGTTTGGGTTTTACTTTTGCTTTTGATGTGTCGAGTAAGTGGAGATGATTAAGCATATAAAGTTTAAACTAACTTTGTAAACCGAAAAAATAATGGTTTGCACTATTGATTCTAATAAGTCATGCACATTAATTATAAGTTATTTTGACCTAAGAAATGAAGAAGCAAGAAGAAAAGAAAACGTGCCTCAATCAAGAAAGAAGGAGAGCATTGTTAGTTGAATTCTCTATCTATGATAGTTAATTTAAAAAGATATGTTTTCTACATTAAATACTCTTTGGGTAAAGGTGGGGTTGTCACTATTTTGAACTAATCAAATTTACAGAAACCACAAAGAAATCATTTGAGAAGCTTAAGGTAGTCACCGTTAGAAAATTTGCCATTTCTGTTAGTTTTTAAGTTGGTTCTGTTATTGAGACCAAAAATGCTCTACTTTAGCAAAGTTAGAGGATTAAAGATGCTCTGGGTTATATTTGAAGGACAAAAATGAACCCATTACCATAGATAAGGGATAATTTTAGTCAAAAACTCATTTTTTAGCCGTACATTCATCGTTCATTGCATGTGTAAACACTGTCCCCTCTGGCTTTGCAAGTTAATTTAGTAGACGAAACTATCAACTATGTCCATTTATAAGTAGTTTATTATAAAAATTATTCAATTCATAAAATATTAGTAATATTATCCATCCTACTATGCCCGCAATCCACCTCAACATCTTCATTTTTGCCACTTTCATCTTTTGGATATGAGAGTTCTTAACCGGCCAACACTCAGCCCCATACAATATGGCTGGTCTAATCACCGCTCTATAAAACTTACCTTTGAGTATCAGTGACACTTTCTTGTAACACATGACTCCAGATGATAACCTCCATTTCATCCACCCCACCCCTATATGGTGTGTGACATCCTCGTCGATCTCTCCGTCCCCCCTAAATAATCGACTGAAGGTACTTAAAACTACTTCTCTTGGGGATGACCTGTGATCCAAGCCTCACGTCCATGCTCACTTCCCTCGACTCGGCGCTGAACTTGCACCAGGTATTCTGTCTTAGTCCTGTTCAACTTGAAACCCTTAGAATCAAGGGCATGTCTCCAAATCTCCAACATTTCGTTAACACCGTCTCGCGTCTCATCAATCAGAATTATGTCGTCAGCGAATAACATACACAAAGTTAGGACTTATTTAGACTTATTTGGGACATTTACGTAAGATTTCCTTATATTTTTGAGTATGAAGTATTAGACCTCTTTAGTCTCAATATGCTATCAGACCAATGAATTTCCTTCTCAATGAGGTAGTTTACATCTTGACTATCTGCATCATGTATGTTAGCTTAATCGTGCTATATATGGACTGAAACCATCCCGAGAACTTGTTATCATCAATCGGCTAATTTCCATTAAGATCTTGGCCTTAAGCAATCATCCTCAGACCATAATATATTTTATATCTAAAGGAATCAAATATCTTGGTTCTACTTGTTTACATTGATCATACTGCAGTGTTTAGCACAAGGCTAAGAATTGTCCTTTATTAATGCCATGTGACTGAGTTTCACATAAAAGACTTGGGACATATGAGTATTTTCTTGGAGTTGAATTAATAACAACAAATGGTCTTCTTTAATTTGTTACAACACAAATTAATGCTTAGTTTATTAACTTCATTGATTGATGCTCATTCATCATTACTTCATGCTCCTTTGATTTTCATCGCAAGATGGTTGGTTGTTTATAATATTGGTCCTTCGCCCGTTTTTCACCACACTAAGTGAAAGAAGATTAACAAAAATAAATAGCAAAACTACTAGAAAGCTAGAATCCCTTTTTAGGATTCATGAACCACAAAATATCTAGAGACAGATGCAGGTCTTTTTGGCTTTAATAAAGCCATATTAGTATTATTGAGCAAGGAGCTTAGTTACTCCTTACGTCCCGTGTCCGCGTCATGATTCAAAAGTCATTCCCAAGAGAAGAAGTTTTAAGTACCTTAGTTTCATAATCCATGGCAATGGGAAGATTGACAAGGATATCACACATTGTGTTAGAGTGGAATGGATAAAATAGAGGTTCACATCCGGTTTTTTATGTGATAAGAATATGCCACAGACTTAAAAAATAAGTTCTACAGAGTGATGGTCAGGCTGACTATGTTGTATGGGTGGAGCTTTGGCCGGTCAATAACTTTTATGTCTAGAAAATGAAGGCATTAGAAATAAGGATGTTGAGATGAATGTATGAGCATACTAGGAGAGATAAGATTAGGAGTGAAGTATACATGATAAGGTAGGAGTAGCTAACGTGGTGGATAAGATGCGAGAAGTGAGGCTGAGATGATACAAGCATGCGAGGATGAGATGTGCAGATGCCTAGTGAGGAGGTACGAGAGGTTGGCCATGAGGATTTGTGAGAGATAGAGTTAGGCCTAAGAAATAAAAAGGGGAGAGGTGATTAGGCAGAACATGACGCAGCGTCACCTTACTGAGGACATAATCTTTGATAGGAGGGTGTGGAGGTCGAGAATTAGAGTAAAAGTTCGTAGGTAGGCGAGTGTACCTCTTTTCTATTCCTTCTCGTATTTTCTTATACTTCAATTTTTATTACTACATATTGTTCCTTTCGCTTCAGTTCCTTTATCATCGTATCTTGTTGTTGTCACTGATTGTTATTACTACTTCCTTTCATCTTTCCTTGGGCCAATGGTCTATATTAAAAATAGCTCTTCTATCTTCATAAGGTTGTATAGTGAGTTTATTATTGTTGTTATTGTAGTTTAGATTAGTTATTACTTAGGCAGTCAAAACAAACAAGAACAGCTTCAAACTCCGCATAGAATTACAACAGTATTTTATAATAGATTAAGAGTACATAAATATTATCATGGTCTATTGAACTTCATTCAGTTCAGATCGTTTACTAATGGTTTCATAGCAAAATCAGAACAGATATGTTCCTCAATCTAAATATGTATTTAACCATCTTCAGGACAATTGTGATCTTTAGGGAAGGTATTAACGCACAAAAAATTCAAGTTAGCTAACAGGATATTTCAACTCGGTTCCTTAGCTAGTCTACCAGTAGATCCAGGTGGAGTTTGGGAGCAGTACTAGGTGAAGTATTTAAATATCATATGATTAGCTGGTCAATCATCGTTCAATATAATGTACTACAGTCATAAAATTAATTTTTGTAACAAAAATTACACAACAATATATTATGATGAAAAATGATAAATCTAATTCTAAAAACACAAGTAGGTTGTCACTTGACCAAAATCATCCCTCTTGTTTCACCCCAACTTTCACTACATCCTTATAATGTTTCACTTAACCTAAAATATCCTTTAAGTTTACCAAAAGTTGACCAAAAATATCCCTCTATTAAATTTTCATCCATATTTAACAGATTCTAATATTCTCACGTGACTTTTTCTTTTTCCCAGAAGGGAGAGCCTCCAAGTCCAGCGAGCTCTTCATTCTTAATAAAAGTGTGTTGCATCTTTTTTCGTCTTTGATTTTCTCCGATCTCTTTCTCGTGAATCGCGTGCAAAAACTGAACAATATGCAGATTTTGGTATGCGGAAACTTAATAATGTGCAGTTTTGGTGTGTAGAAATTGAAAAATGTATGCAGAAATTAATGAAAATGCAGATTTTGGTGTGCGGAAACTAAAATATAAGTGCAGAATCAAGAAAAATATAGTGCAGTGTGCTGAAACTAAAATTTAAGTGTAGAATTTGAAATGTAAGTGCAACAACAACAACAACAACCCAGTAAAATCTTAAAAGTATGAAATGTAAGTGCAGAATCTAGATAATTATAGAACAGGAATTGAAATGTATGCAAAAACTAAAAAATATGCACATAATGCAGAATTAGTGCAGATTGCAATAAATTATGGTGCAGAAATTAAAAATTAAGTACAAAATGGAGAAAACTAATTACAGAAATACCAAATGCCAAAAGTTGAAACTTGTAAATAATTAAAGTCGGAAAATTTCATAATTGACTCATACGAAATGAACTTAATTCGCTTAGAAGTCATCACATTACAAAATGAACTTGCGTCATTCCAAAATAAATCCTGTCATTACAAAATGAACAAAATGGAAATGACTGTCACATCTACGATGCTATGCAATTTGGCACATTCATGCTACTGGCCTCTTCTAAACTGAAAAAGGAATAAGAGGACCTTAAGATAGATGAATTTCATTACAATGAAATAAGACAAACATTATTGATATATGCATCTCACCGGAAGTTTGTCACGAAAAGAGACAGATTCTTGCGTCCAATTTGTTGTGTTCTCAACCATAATAGAGTTCAAAAATGAAGTGTAGTTTGTTGGTTCTGGTTCAACAACATTATATAAAGAGCAAGTTCTTTTGTTGTGGCTAGGTCTACCACACTTGCTACAATCAACTGATTTTTATTTTCTTTTTATCCTAGTCCTCGAGGCTCCAAGATCATTCACTTCTTTCTTTCTTAATCTCTGTTTCTTTCCTTTCTTCTTTTTCAAATAAGAAGGTGGCAATAGTTTAGGATTAGGTGATTTAGGCCATAAATCTTGCCCATTCGTAGGGAATATGGTTGTATATGCTTTCCTGTATGTCTCAACCTTGTAGCAGTCGTGAACATAGTCTACAATCTCATCTTTTTTTCATCCATATAGCACAAATAGCATGTTTGTAAGGTATCCCTGATAATTTTCATTTTCTACCGCTATATATCTTGTTATAAAAGTCCACAGTACAAGTGTCAATATCAGTAGACCCTAGGATCTCATAATTCCATGAGTCGGCTTTTCGAGGAATATAACCAGAAGTTCCCTTCATGTTTCTATGCAATTTCTTTTTTATAGTTGGACAAATATTACCTGAAGCCCATTTTTTAGATTTATCCCTGTTGGTTGCAA